TATGTAATCTAAAAAATATTGAGCTTAATATAGGAAAAAATAAAAATATATATAGACCGTATAGTGCACGAATAGGAACTGAATGAATAGAATGAAATGCTTGTTTGTATTTAAAATGCCTGAAGGCTCTATGTATGTATGTCTACAATATGTATGCACCTTTGGTGGGAGTGTCTTGTCTTGTAATTCATAGTCGAATGAAAGGATAAATTTTGTTGTTGTTGCTACGGTTACTTTTACTATAATTGTTCTTGAAACTTGGTTAGCCATTCATGTCTGTGCACGGACAACTATATGCCTGACGGAAACGGAAACAGTCACTTATCGTTTCATTTGTTACCAGTAGTGGTCGTAGTCTTTCAAATAATTTTCTTCTCTTGTTTCAACTTTCAAATGCTAGTCTTTCTGGTTAGCGCAAGAATTAAGCGAAGGCAATTGTTCGTCTGCCTGTAAGTGTACATGCGTTTTTCTTTTTTCCTTTTTGCTTTTGTATATACAAAAAACATGGAAAGCATTTTTTCTGGTTTGGTTATGTGAATGGCTTTTGTGGTGATACAAAACTATTATCATCATTATAATAATGTTGTTGTTGTTGTTATTATTATTGTTGTTGTTGTTGTTGCTCTTGTTATTACTACTATTGCTAGGATAGCAACCAACATAAAATGGGCCTAAAACCGAAATGCTGGTGTTAAACACTAACAGCATTTAGTTGTAGCAGCATTAGAAGAGGAGCAGAAAAGCTCTGTTAAAAAATTTAGAAGAACAAAAAAAAAAAACACAACAGAAGTGCAGGAAAATGTATGTGTGTTTATATGTGTATGCATAAGAACGCACCAAAGGCTCTCAAGCTAATTTACAACAATATTCTTTGGGGTGTAAAACTAATTTAGTAAGATGTGTAGATATTTTTTTATTTCATTAATGAAAAAAAAAAAGAAATTCAAATAAAATCTTAATAAGAAATATTTTATCTAGAAAAATATATTATAAGAACTTGTAAGCTTTAAAAAAAAAATGTCTCAGTATTAACGAGAAGTATAAGAGTTAAAAAATATTTCTAAAACTAAGCTACTAATGTGAAATGTTTTCTTTGAAGAGGATTTCCCGAAAAAAGAAAGAAAATATTATTTGCAAATAAAAATAATAACGAAAAGTTTATTTTTTTTTCTTTTACTAAACACTTTAATATGATTTTTAAAATTTAAAAGCAGAAAACGCTTACATTTTTTTTTGCTTTTTCTTTTTTTTTTTTTTGTAAGCAAAATGCATGTTTTTCGCGTCTACATTCTACAGCTTCTACTGCAAAGCTAGCAAAAATTCTAAATCCATTAATAATAGTAATAAACTTCAATAACTGCGGCAACATAATCTACATAAATATTTTTATAAGCGTGAAAAGGAAAGCGTTTCGGTTGGTTGGATTTACAGTGATTTATTATAGAAAACGTTATCTGTTGAAAAATTCATGAAAATTCCAGATCGATATTAGTTATAGTTTCCAAATTATTAACGAAAATATTTTGAAATTTTGATTTTTTGAAATGGCGCGTTTTTGAAATGCACTCAAGCTTGTGAAAGACATTAAATCGACCCGAGACTTTAAAGAGCAGACAAAATTAATTATGGGATTCAAAATGAATGCAATCGTTTGTAATCGCGAGAAGACTATAAATCTGTGGTTAGTATAGGAGAGACATACGATTGGCGGTTGTTTTCATTTTTCTTAATTTTTCGTATTACATTTGATTGTCATTATTATTGCTATACCCTACACAACTTATGGTAAAAGGTTGTATTAAGTTTGTGTGGAAGTATGCAGCGGCCAGAAGAACTTAAGATCGAATCGTCTTTTATTATACTGATTGGTTCCCCTTGTCTGTCCATCTGTCCACCTTGTTTTCAATTTGCAGGCTGCTGTTTATGAGATATATTTTTATATGGCTTTATAGACCGGTACGCTTTGATCCAAGGTTGAGCACTATCGAAAATGGTTCGGATCGGATCACCTTTCGACTGCTCTCCATATAAATCTTTATTTTGCAATTTGCATTAAACAAAGTGATGTAAGATATTTAATGGTGGACCGAGTCCCACTGTACCATTTTACTTATTTAATGCAGTGAAAATGTTATTAATTAATTATTAAGAAAATTAAGATCTCATCTCAGTGTTTAGTACCATCACATTGTTTTACAAAGTTTTCGAAACATGTAGAGTAAGTTAGTGAACGAGTGAAAGATCGACTTTTCTATCTTTACTTTACTAACTTAGTAAAAGTTTTGTTTTATAAGCATGTTAAAAAGTTTTTTTGCTTCCTTAATAATATAAAAGATTCTTACTATCTACTTTTAGGCATAATTTATGTAAATTTTCGTTGCATACGTAAAGCAAAGTTTCCTTCTCTTGTAATATGTTTTTGGTCTCTATTTGCAAATAAAGTATTTGCTTAAAATCATTTTGAATCATTTTTACTGGCATAAGGAATAAGGGAATTTTCAGGAAGAAACTGACTTCACTTTTACCTTTACTTTTTGTTTTTTTGCTAGCAGTGTGCTATATAGCTTGCATTTTTTCAACTGTTAAGCACTCTCAAGTTGATTCTATCAATAATCAAGGGGATGTTAATGTAATTTGAGATTTAACAAATTGCTTTTGAGGTATATGCAGACTGCAAATGCGATTCAGCGCAACGGCGCCGTCAGTTAGTTAGTTAGAAAAATTGCTGTAATAGCACTAACGTATAAAAGCCATAAGTCATTTCTCCTATAAAAAAAGGTAATTGACAATGGACTTTAGTTTACCTTACATAAGATTATGTTACAAAAAAACAAGGAGTTATCGTGATATTTTTTGGATTTTTATAGAATTATTTATGATTTTTAGAAGTTCTGATTATCTGGCTGATTGCATTTGGATTGCTTTAGGGATGTTACAATTTGCTCTCTATATATTTAATAAAGTAAAGAGAGTAAAATATAAATCGCGAAAAAGGAAGCTTTTAAACTTGCGTTTTAATTTTCACTGCGTTCTTGCTGTTTTTTTATTCATCTCAGCTTACGTGGGAGATGGAATCATTTTAGTTTTTGAAATTTTAAATTATTATAAACTTTAAATGTACTTTGGATATTATGTATTTACAATGAACATTTGTAGATTATACATGCCAATGGATTCAATTTGTCAAGAGTTGGTGGATGAAACTCAAAAGGAATAAAAGCAATGTTGAAAACTTAATGCTGCTATGAAAAGGTCATGATTGCAAACATTCAAGGCGATGCATATGTAAAATTTTATTCAAGGTATTATTTACTTTTCATTAAACTTTTTTTTTGTTTTATATTAATCTTTACACTGTAATAAATTTTCTAATTATTTATTACAATTTGTAGGCATTGAAAATATGAAATTTAAATTTATTTTGTGCTTTCCGTTTTTTTTTTTTTTTTTTTTTTCTTAATATCACTCGGGCAATCAGTCGTGGGATGTCTCGTATACGTGTAATACTATGAAGTTCAGAACGAGGAAAACATAGGAAGGCAGAGTGGCTACAGTCTAGCAGTACATGATTGATTGGGTTAGTGTTTTATGCCTTTGACTACTAAGCACTCACTTTGGCTACGACGAATGAGCATGGTCGAACGACACTGGAATTTGAACAACTTGTAATCACGTTTCGTATCTACTTGGTTACAGCACGTAAATGTAAAATGTTTGCATCGTAAAAAGTTCAGTCTGTGCCAAATCAAAGTAGTTTTCAATATATGCGTGACGCCTCTTTCTTAAAAGTGTTTTGAGGACAAGAAGAGAATAAAAAAATAAATTCCTATATGCTACGGCATGACTCTCATACATGCACAGGCATGCTGTAATTCGTGTATTTAACTTCGGTTAAGTTTGTTCTTTTCGTAAGTACTCCGCATTTCATACTTCCTAATGTAAGGTGTATTAATACTTTTTCAAATTCCTGAAAAAGATTTCCCGCCTTTTCCCTGAAAATGTTGCCTACGTGCGGGCTTAATTTATAAATATTTAAAGCTGTTGTCTACATTTGCGCTTATTTTTTTTTTCAAATTTTTACTGCCTACTTTTGTGTGATTTACTTATTTGTATTACTTAATAAAGAGTATTTCTACATTACTTTCCTAGAACGGTCTCTGCATTTTCTACTTTAAAAAGCACTGTAAATCCTGTACATAATCGTTTTCTCATTTTAGCAAAGTTTGTGTATATTTGAATATATATTTGTGATTATGCAAGTGAAGGTAATTATCAAAATTCGGTGTCTTTTTTTTTTTTTTTACAATGTTTTACAAACTCTACTTGTTAGAGAGAGAAAAAATAGGATAACAAATTCTAATTGTTGGCAAATGCATAATATGAGAAAAGTTTACAAAAAAAAAAAAAAAAAAAAAAATTTTATTTTTTAAATTTTAAAAAATTTTTTTTTTTTTTTTTTTCGTTATCTCTTTGTTTAACTAATTTTGATAAAGGGAAATAAGTAACTGTAATCTTTTTGTTTAAAAGCATTTGCTAAGAGAGGGAGAGCCAGAAAAGGCAACAAAAAAAAAAAAAAAAGGAAAGAATGACAACCACGAGAACTAGAACTAAACTTAAATGGAGGTTAAGTAGCAGAGAGATGATATTGGAAAGGATTGAGAGAGATAAGAGAGAAAAAAAAAAAAAAAAACAGGAAAAAAAATAAACGAAGCAAGTTGAACAATGAAATGAGAAGAAGAAAGTTTTGAAAATGTTTTCGAAACTTATAACAAGAGCCGTACGAGATAGAAACTTCAAAAACATATATAACGAGGCTATTGAAAAGAAGACGAAGAAGAAAAAAAAAAAAATTAGAAAAAATTGCAACGAAAAGTGATAAGGAGGAGAAGACAAAGTGAAGAAGGTAGAGCTTTGTTTTTCGTTTAAAAAAGTTAATATTTCTTTTTTATTTTTTTGGTATATATATATATATATATATATATATATACACTATGGCGGACCTGAGCTACTAGAGAGATCTTGTGTCGGTACTGGCAGTGCTCCTCCACTTATGGTCGGTATACCGCCTCCACCGAGACCGCTGCGCTGCAATTCTTGCTGTTGCAATTGTACGCCCAAAATGGGCATAGGCACTGGTGGTGGCCGCACTCCGGGTCGTCCAACGCGTGTTGTCGTTGCACTGCTGCCAGTTGCTGCCGGCCGATCGGTACGTTCCGGATAATCGGGCACATTTACAATCGGTATGTCCGCCTGTGAGCTGCCGGCTTCCGGGCCTTTTGCCGCATTCTGGACGGATTTATCGGCTGCAATAGTGGCGTTTTTAAATTCGCCCGCTTGTTTAAGTACGCGATAAACTTGATCGATATCAGTTAATTCTGATGCGATATTTATTGGCGAACATGGCAAATACATATGTATAGATGTGAGATGGTGGTGGTTGGTGGCAGGATTAAAGGTGACAAGAGTGAGAATATTTTTTTGGTTTTTCGAATATTCGTTACGGTTCCAATTTTTGTTTTTCGAAATAAAAGAAGGGTTCAGATTTTGATTTTTTTTTTTTTTTTTTTTTTTTTTGTTTCGATTTTTGCGATTTGTATTTAAAGGAGGGGAAAGAATAACGATTTTTTAATGAGCTTCTTATCTTACCATGAAATGTTTAAATTATTTTCATTCTTGCAAACCAATAAGAAAAAAAAAAAAAAAAAAAACTAAGTAAATAAATAAATTAGTTAAATAATATAAATAAAAAAATGTTTATGTATTACGTGTGTCTCTTTGCTTTACTCTAGAAAAAAGAAAACTACATTTTAGCCTAATTTATTTGGATTGCGGTGTGCTTCGAATGCTTCGGATCTCAATAAAAAAAAAAAATAAAAAAAAGAAAAGATAATTATTGTAAAATTTATTTGCAAAACAATTCAAATTAAATTAAGTAGAAAGCAAGCAATTGACTGCATCACGAGTTTTTTTGCCCATATGAACTTATTTGCATATACCTGAACGCGTATGCATGTAAATGCATGTATGTGAAAATGACCTTTTAATTAATTTAGTGTGAAATCGCTTTAATTTGCATTTATTGCACCTCTTAGTAGCGTAGGTCAATGCAATACATTCGCGAAAATTACGCTCTGAAGTTTAACGTAATGCTTTCTGAATTCATTCTTAGAACATTGACTTACTTTCTTGGACAGTTTTTATTAGGGGTTGAACATGTAAATAACTTGTTATTACAGAACACATAAGAAATTTGCATAAAATTATTAGGTGTTAAGCATTTATCATTCTGTTAATTTAATAATATTTATCTCAGCCGAGTATTCGCCTGTCTCCCACAAGGTTTAATCAGTATATAAATTAATAAAAAAATTTCTATCTAAACACAGCAGACCGTTGTGCTATTGCAAAAGGTTACTCTTTCGTGGTTAAATGGTTAACTTTGTTGTTCTTTTAACAATTTTCTGGATGACAGTAATACTACAGGTGTGGCTATAAATAGGAAATATGTATTTTTTGACGGAAAATTACAAGACAGAGTAGCGAAATTTGTCAGGGCTCCCTTTAGCGATACCTCCAATGATTATATTTGCATAAATATTTATAATATATGATATCTTATATAAATGTAAATATATAAGGTGTGCCAATGAATTATGACACTTGAAATTGGCTGCATTTACAATATGCGTCTGGCGATTTAACCTTTTCCGAAATATCAGGTATTGATAATTTAAATATTGACATTTACACAGTATAGCTTTCATCCGTTTACAAACTACTGACCAGAGTGAGTGGCAGTTCCTAGCCAAAGTGGAACAAGCGAGTGCAGCTAGGCCTGACACTAACCAGAGTGACGGTTCATACGGCCATACACGGTGAACCATCTGCGCACCTCGGAGTAAGTAAGGCTCCCTTATTAGGGGATTGTCTTTCCCCCCGGGAGGTGGTCACTCAACTCAATTGAGTGCCTATGGTTGTAGGCAACCCGTCTGATTAAGGCATCAAGCCAGGTGCAGACGTTAAACACACAGAGCGATCTGACCAGAGAGAGTTGATTGAACAATACGCAATAAACAATCTGGACTCTGGTGCTGTTTAGGCCCTTAGCTTATAGAGATTGTCTAACTCGCCAGGGGGCGTGGATTACGCTTATATATGGGCCACCGTGGGATTAAGCCATCAAGGCAGGAACCCACGTGAAACCCCTGTCACAATATGTTCAGAGTGTGAAATACGAAATTCCGTGGGTTTAACACGGATGTACCGAAACCCTTCAGCTTTTGATGGTGCTCCTTATAAACGTTGACTTTGTTGCTTTTGTGGCTCTTACTTCCGAAAGTCGCACAGTTAACGGCAAAGAAGGGTTTAAGGTTTGCTATCTATAACCTGGCGACGGGTTTTTCTCTTGGAACACTAAGAGCTTTCATTAGAAAAGATGGAAGACGCGATATTTAAGAAGGCGGGGGCAAAGTTGTGTAGCTGCTGTATGATGACAATTTTGGAAGAACAATTTCCTCGAGAACAGATAGCGCTTGGATTATGGAAAGTTCGAACGCAAGAGTGGCTGCGGCTGCGTACAGTAAGAGATCACCCAAAACTGTATAACATGCTGTAAGTTCTGTAGGAACAAAAAGCCACCAAGTTAATGGGTGTCCCCGGCGGTCAGTTGCCTAAACGTAGGATTGCTACGTAGCATTGCTCCTGGCAGGAAGATGCACTACTCATCTGATTGTGGAGAGAATGTCTTTTTATCTGACTGCTGGGTAGGGCCTTTCGGAGAGTATTCGTGGTGGCTGTGGTTACCCAGAATTTTCGTGGGGAACTATATAAGAGGTCCTTAGACAGGCGTCGACGCAAACCAGTAAGTGAAAAAATGACCCACATCAGTTTTCTATTTCGGTACCTCAGGGTGATAAGACTTTCTTGAATGGGTATTGTCTTACTCCTTAGGGGGTCCTCAACCCGTCTGATTAAAGCTTCATGGGCCAGGTACAGACTTCGCGTTTTGCCACTTTAAATACCAACTGACGTGCAAGAACGTCCAATATTTTCGGCAAATGTCAAATGGATAGCTTCAGTTTTGCAGCTACGTGAATGCTTGTAGCACACATTACATGGATGGGACATACGGACAATCAGAGAAAACGGACAGACGGATGGCTTTAAATCGATTCAAGATTTGCTGCTGATCAATAATATACGTTTTGTGATATCGTGTATGATAACTTTTTACGACAAATTTCAGAGAGAAACTTTTTCGAATTTTTTAGTTACTTCTTTGAATCCACCCTTTTTTGTAAATATTGCAGTAGATGCATCCTCAATTTATCTTTGAAAGACATTGATGTTCACCGTTTAAAGAATTCTAAGACGGATGGAGCAACCGTCAATTGGGAGAAAGTGAAGATCTGGCTTTTTCAATTATGTGCCTCCCTCGAACATTGGGTATTTTTACAGATACTTTGTTCAATGACTTGAAAATAAAGCTGCATATATGTAGCCTGACGAAGCTGCGCTTGGCAAGGGGTTCACTTGACAGTGTAATTTACTTGAATTGAATTGAGATATAAAGGAATTATGTATAATGTTTAAAAAAGTCTCAGAATTGCTGAAGTACGTTTCCATAAACGATAGTCCCCAAGAAGAAGAGAAATTTTGTAATCATTGTTTATTTAAGGATTAATAAATTCGAATGTTCGAAATGGAAGTCCCGGCATAGCAGGCCAACAAAATTTTGAATGGCAACTGTATGTGCAGAGATTAAATGGATTTATTTCTCGATAGCTTTTCTCATTTAAGACCCTATTACCTAATTGTGTCTTCAGGACATCAAAGCCAGTAGACAATTAGGTATAATTTTTTTAGGCAAAGATCACTAGGTCTAAAGTATTGTACTAATAGATCATCAGGCGCCACGTGATGAGGAAACCACCATCCACAAGCTAAATTTCGGGCCTGTAGTGGTCTTTACAGAATTAAACCTAATGGACAGTTCTCTGAATAATCTAACGAATCGCCCTATGCTCCTTTTGATGTTGTGTTTTCTCCCCATACTTTGATTTACGCAGAGTTTCCTAAATTATATTCAGGCTTATTTTTCTTTATAAAAAGAGGTCTAAGATGATAGTACTTTCCAATTTTTTTATAAGAGCACATAAATGTCCTTATGAAGGACCTCGTCAAATAAAACGCTCTTCAGTAAAACGAACGTATTTTCATCTCTGCTCTCTAGAGGAGCGAACACCTCGCAGGCAAACCGTGAAAGCTCCACGAAACTTTTAAAAAAAATTTTATTGATGAGATTTTTAAAAGATATAATTTTAATTTAAAAAATGTTTTTTTTTGTTGTTGTTGTTATTAAATCAGAAATATTTATCTCTATTTATTTGTATATGCAAATGTATTGATGATTACGTTAATTGAAGAGTTGAGCTTGCGAAATATATAAAATTTTAAAGGTCGTTTACGCATTAGCAGTCAATTACTTTAACTAGTTTTTGTTCTCTACACATCAAGTATGTTGTTTCTTTTGCTATATTTATCTCTGTGTACGTATGCTGTATCTGAGAAAAAAAAAAAAAAAAAAAAAAAAAAAAAAAAAACTAAGTATTAATTTGTGTTAAATCAAACGCGAAGAACATTGAATGTATTTAAGTGATGTGTAAACTAGTCAGTCATGCTCCGCTAAGAATTATCATCAATATATAGAAGAAAAATAAAAAAATAAATAAATAAATAAATAAATAAACTGTGTCTTCAAGTGAAGTTAGTATGAAAAATATTAATAAATAAATAAAAAAAGAAAAACAAAAATTTCAATTGAAAAGAAAAACAAAAACAAAAGCTTACGCAATAAATCAATCAATAGTTGTGTTCGCTTTGTTCTAACTGTTGTTTGCGAAAATTTGCGAAATGAGCTTAATAAACAAAAACAACACATCACATACACATGATTAAAGGAAACGAAAAAGAAAAAAAAAAATGTGATTTTTTTCTTTTGTTTTTTCTTTTGTATATTGAGCTTCTATTGTTGCTTTCGTATGATATGTAGAAGTTTTGTTTTTTTTTTCTTTTTAGAAATGTTTGTTTGCTGTATTTTCTTGTAATAAAAAGCAAAACACACACATTTAGTTGTATTCCATCATACATTGTTTTTTTTTTTAGCAATATTTTAATTATGATTATGTATGAATATAATAATAATTATTTTAAATATATATGTATGAAAATATATATATATATATATATTGTAGCATATACATAAAAGAACGAGATATACGGTGTGTTTTGTGTGACTAATAATAATAATAATAATAATAATAATATTTATTTATTTATATATATATATATATATATAAGTATAAATAAGAATCTCACAATTCTAACAATTCTATAAAATTGCTTTTTGATGATTTGCTTTTTGCTAAAATTTTGCAATAATTTAATATATCGATACCTAATTTGGTAATGCGATCGATGAATGGTGTCTTTTGACGAAATTTCCTAGGACTTTGATTAGAATCATTCGCAGTCTCAACATCATTAAATATTTCTTTCGTTGTATCCTCGTCTACTACGTTTTTTAAAAAAAAAATTTTTTTTTTTTTAAATATTTTTTAAGATATTTACAAACAAAAAAAATTTCATAAAAAAATAAATGAAATTAAATATAGTTAAAGACATCGTTTAAGTAATATATAGAAATAAAAAAAAAAAAAAAATTTTTTATTTTTTATTCAGAAAGATTAAAAAATTTTAAATATTTTCCCAAAGGAATTCATGAAAATATGTAATATTCTAAAAGCTTTCGCAATACGCTTTTTTTTTACTTTTCACATTCGCATGTTGAGTGATTTATATGCGAAAACCGGAATTAGACGGAGATATTCTTCGAGCTATGTTGTATAGCAAATCAATATTTATTTAGTTTAAATTGCGAAAAAAGTTAAAAAACAAAAAATTCTTCTACAAGAAAGAGAAGAGTATGCAGCATCAAAGCCCCAATTTACGCGGTTTGTTATTAGCATAATTTCGCTTACATACGATTTATTGAGTTACAAAAGGAAAGCGGTTAAAACAGATAGGGGGCGATGGCCCACGATTAAATAGCTCACAGTACCCTATAGGTATTCATGTAACGGCATTTGAAAATGAGGCGTTATGTGGGAGATGGTCAGATCCATTTTCAATAGTGTTCGTCCTTGGATCAAAAGACGTCAGTCTTCTTCGAAATGTTCCAAAAAGTGCGGTCTATAGGTTGAACACGAGATAACAAGACGGACAGACAAAGTTAAATAGATTCACAAAATGATTCTGAATCGATCGGAAGAATAAAAAGAAGGGGTGGCTTGTGTTTCGGAAATAAGATTTTTTTCGTTGTTTTAGAGAAAAAAACAAGTGCGCAACTAAACTAATTTAGAAGCATTGCTTTAGAAGATTGGTATGTGTATCTGGCAATGCCTTCACCAAACTTTGTATATAAGAATTTTTGCCCATATATAGGTGTAATAAAATGAGCTGAAATGCTACTGAGTTAACTTGAAAATCGTGTTTCATGCACTTGTACTTGCTACGTTACAGTATACGTCTAAAAATCGTGCGGGATATGTCAATAGTCCTCCTATATCTGTTTTTCATTTCACGAACTAATTGAATGATTGATTTATAGCATCTTTATGTTTACTTTTTAGAGTTGCTGCAAGCACATCGACGATAAATAGCGTTGCGTTTACACGATTCCTAAAACGCACAGTTGTGACAATGTGAAGACGAAGCTGAAGCAAACGCTTTTCCGCAACATGTTAATTGGGTGAGAACTGAATGGACGAATAAATGTGAAAAGGTTTTCTGCGAAAAACACGTCCTTCCATGTCACTTAGATCCGGAAGGGTTTAGGAAGATATAAAAGAAGTCAAAGGCATTAATTGTCAACACAATAAGCTCGACTGCTATAGCTAATCGATAGGAAATATTTCTTTAGTTTGTTAATCATCGAAGCACATGTATCTTCTTGTATATTGTACTATAGCTGGAGTATTGATAGGGGGACAGTTTATACTTGAATGGACTTGATAGATCCATTTTTCTTATAGATGGAATGAATTCGGGATAGTTTCATATTTCTGGCAAGAGGTGTAAAAAGTGGATTTCTTCACAAAATCAACAATAGATGTTTTGTTCTTTATTTCGTTATACCCTACACTTTTTTAAAATATTTTCAATCCTCAAAAAGAGGGAAGGAAAGATATACTCTTGATTTTGATCTGAAGCTTTTGCGTGGATGTTGGCAAATCGGTCAGAAGTTATGTGAAGTGAGACCATTGTTGCTTTTAAGGTATCTCACTCATTGCTTATAAACAACAACAACTTAGTCAACTGTAGAAATTTCCACACATTGTGGAAAGTATACAGTACCTGAAGAAAAATTGCAAAAGTGAATTTTTTTTTTTTTTCTCAACATAAAGTGGGTGGTGCGTATGAAAGATTCACGCACACTTGTTTTTTTTTTTTTTATGTTGAAAGGACACCCAATACTTAATTAAACTTAAGCTTTTATAAGACGAAGAATTGTAAGAAGCAATGAAGTATAAGCAGTTCCAAGAGTCTAGTTTGCCCCCGTCCGTGATTGATGCTGCAACGTAAATGACGAATATTGATTTATTCACTTTCGTGTACACAATCGAACATACGCGTAAATTGGGGCAGAAATGTGTAGAGACTTGAATTTGCATTACTCTTTGGCTCTTATTCGATCGAAGCATAATGTATCTGTTAAGTACTTTGAACTAATCCTTCCGCCATATTTAACATGCAAATGGTTTGCTGTGGCGTATGCCGGTGAGACAATCAGCTTAAAATTTCTGTTAAATCTAATAATATTCTATTTCGATTAGCTATTAATGTTTTTAATTATAAGCGCTGAGCTATTTTTTTTTTTATTTTTTTTTTTTATTTAAATTGAGAAGAAGAAAACATTAAAACGAAATTTATAAAAACGCATAAAACAAACTTATACTCGAAAACTCGTAAAAGAATAAAATTTGTTAAACTAATAAGAAACGAACATTCCTATATATTATATACACATATATATATATAAACATATGCATATACATATATTTATAGTTTTTTCCCTTTTTTTTTGCCGGGGGGGATTAGTTAATTATGAACATGGAGGTAGACTAGAAACGTTATTCGGTGTTATTTCTATAAAAATCTCACTAAATTTTAAGCTCCTATAAGAACAATTGTTAATTATATTGTTAAGAAAAAATTCTATTAACTTTTCTAGCTTTTCGTTTGAAAAAAAAAAAAAAAAAAAAAAAAACAATTGATTAAATATTTTTTTTTTTGTTTTTTTTTTGTTTTTATGAACTGAAACGTTAAACACTTACTTTCTTCTTCGGCTTCAATGCGATTTTCTAATTCGGACGTGCTTTTCTGACGACGCAATAATTTCTGTTTAGGTTGGCAACGGGGCAGCTGACCGGCACAGTCTCCATGAGCATTCAATTTACAAATGCGACAACGCAAACCTTGCCGCGTATGACCTGAAATGATAAAATATGGAGAAAGAGAGAGAGAGAGAGAGAAAAGAAGATAAGAAACATTTTGTTGTTTGAAAGTGACAGTGTAAGGCAACAAAAAGAACGATAAATTTCCGAAATATATATCCAACGTGGACGTGACTTGGCGCATAATATCACCTTACATATCAATAGCAAAATACGAGCATCTTTCTAAGGGAGAAAGAAAATGAAGAGGTTCTAATATAGGAAAATAAAGAACTTAGAGCAAATAATAATTCCTTTCTTCCCAGTTTTCTTAAAAGTAAAATAGAAATGTGGCATCTCATGCAAAATAATCTGCTCTACACCACTTTTAGTATAAGCGTGTATTAAGTTTGTATGCGCGATAGGCCCACCTTTTATTGTACTCGCCGATTCAGAATCTATTTGTGAATCGATTTAAACTTATCTGTCCATCTTCTGTCTGTCTTGTTTTCTTGTGCTCAACCCATCGCAATTTTTGAGATATTTTGATGAAATTTGATACATTGACATGCTTTAGCCCAAAAGCGAACGCTATGGTTCGGATCGGATCATTTTTTGCAAACCACTCCCCGCATAAAGTCTTATTTTCAAAAGTGACTGCAATGAATGAAATGGTGGGCCGCATACCACTGTAGTGCTTTTGCTTGTTCTTGTCAAAATTATCGAGACTTTCATCCTACAACTTTGATCACTTTATTAGCAGGCAGACTGCTTTGTGTTTAAATCTTGTCTTTTCATCAACAATGGCCGTTTATCCTAACAGTATTTTCCAATGCAGTCAAAGGACGTATAATACGACTATGACTATGTCGGACGCTTCGATTTATGGACCACTTCGCCACATCCTCTATAATTATTTTTTCACATCATTTTTATCATTGAGGAGCAATAAAGGCGACTGTTCGCTTCTAATCGTAATAGGGTTGAGACAATGTCATGCTTATCTGAGACGTGGGGACAACGAATATCACACTCTCAAAAGGAAGAGATAGGTTTAGAAGTTCCTGGCAATGTGGAAGCAATAAAATTCTGTTCGCCATATTTATACCTTTCGAACAATTTTCTCGAAATTTAAAAATGATGTAGAATGATGAGTAAATCGAGGATTTTGCACATGATGGTTACACGAAGATCAAAGACAAGTGTGTCAAGATGGAACGAGATGATATTAGGATATAATAATATTTTTATATTTTTATTTCCGAAAACGTTTGCCACGAGCCTCGTAATTAAATTTCGACTTTATTGTAAGTAAAATGCCGTATCATACCTCTTAAGATTTGCGAGCATACATCACAGGCTGTTATCTTTTTATACGTGTACTCCTGTAAGTGATGACTGCCATCTTCGCTGGGTCGTATGGGTTGTGAAGAAACACCTCCTGCTCCATTCCGCCTAGAGAAAGTAAGAAACACAGAAATGAAATAAACCCAAGAAACTATTAATAGAAAATTCATCGATTGAAATTTTATGAATTTGCTAAAGATCTACCATCACCCTATGATACGTTATTCTTTTTTCTTTTTTTTTTTTCGTTATGATAATTACAATAGTAGTGAGAATGAGATGAACTGCGTGTGATAAGAGAAAAAATAATATTAAAAATAAATAAGATAAGAAATACGAAACTTTACATCAGTCTGTTAATGTCTTTAATTGCTTTTCATTTTTCCCTCACAGTAGAAAATGCATTGAGTGAAAAGCACACAGATGAGAACTCATCCAACCGAATATAAAGGGAAATAAAACGAATAAAACATTTCAGTAGAAAAGCTTCGAAAACGTTAGCAAGAAAACGCATTCACTAAATTGATCTGCCACTTATTCAGCAAATTTCTTACATTCGGATATCTACACATAGCAGTGTGCACACCAAAGAAAACCCAAAAAAAAAAAAAAAAAAAAACATATTCACTCAATGTGGTGATGTTCCAATTAGCATTCTTCTTTTTCCCTTGCGGGTGGTATTCACGCCTATAGATTTTACAAAAATAAAATAAAAAAAAAGAAAAAAAAAAAAAGAAAACCATAATCACTGGCTACATATTCATATGTCGGTTATTTTGTTTTTGCCCTTTACTTACTCAAAAAAATGGAAAATGAGAAACATGCAATTTTTTTCGGTCAATTTCCAATTAAACTCAATATTTTCAAAAAAAAAAAAAAAAAAAAAAAAAAAGATAAAGAAAAATTATCTTGAATTTTTTCCAATCGAAAGACATTTTGAATATAGTCGTTAATGTTATGGCCTTGTAAAGTTATTGGGGTTAACTGACAGCATTGGCTATATATGGAAACGTTTCGGGTGCATATTTCAATTTAAGGGAAATCTTGTAGCAACAGAATACTTGAAATTACGTTTCTGCTAAAAGTTCCTTGTCATGGATAACCACTTACTGATATCATCATTAGTTAGTATTTTTAAAAGATTTTTGAACCCACACAATGCCACCAGTATATGCTTGCAACGCACAATTGCGAAGTATTGTGGAACAGTTTTTGGAGTGGTTAGGGCGATTGGGGGCGAAACTCTGCGAATCTTCAAAGAACCACCGACCCTCACGTTTTTGTGGGTCGCCGTGTATGAGAAGTATTGGAAGAGCTCTCTATTTTCCTTTTTCTTTCACGTAGTCCTCTGCTATAAAGGGCATTAAACTGCTCTGTCTCTATTCAGCAATTAAAACTGCTGCTCAGTTCAGTGTTCAGTCAGTTTGCAGTATTGTGAAGTAACGACAGTGTTGATAATAACGTGCTGGATGGACTCTCAGGACGAATGACAAGAGTGCACCCGGCTGCGTATAATAAGGGATCAACTTAAGCTGTAAAGATTTGGCGGAAGCCATAACATGAAATGCCAGGAAATTGTGGCTGTCCACGGGGTCAGATTGTTCAAAGAGGAATTGCCTTCGGTACATATGACAAACTTTTCATCGGATGGTGAACAGAACGCTCTCTTGTCCGACTATTGGATGCGGTTCTTTAGGGAGTATTGTGGTGGCTGTGGTTACCCTGAAGTATCGCGGGAACGTTAAAAAATGGGACGTTAAGTAAACTATGACCCTGCACAGAGTTGCAAAAAAAAGTCGTATACATTTTTATTTTTTTTTTGGTCTGGTAGTTCAAAAATAATTTGACCCCCTTCTATGACGATTGTTCTATTCCTTCTCGGCGTCAAATATCACAAGCCGTGATTTAAAATTATCTAAGCAGATATCCACGAAATTATCTTTACTGCTGTGAAACAATATGTCATAAACAGACGCCATCGATCACCTTAATGTCATATATAGACGGTAAAAATGGCGAAAGGGTTAAACGGCTACTTTGAAATGAGAACTGATCGGTATATTTCATGGAAATTTGCAACGTGAAAACGAATAGTTAGGTTCTTTCTACGGATTGAAAATTAATTTACTCTGGAAAATAATACTCCCATAGCTGATACGCCCAGTACAATGGATGATATCGCTTCTAGTTATGATTGATTTTTAGTTTAGAAAAAAAATTGTACTTAGCAGTTTTCCTGCTTACTTCTTTTCATAACTAAGCGGTCCTATAGTATACTAGTTCATATTACCTTCTTTGAAGGCAATGCAAATTTTTTGAAAGTCTATAGCTTCCCATCGCTAAGTTTATCCAACTCAGCGGCTTTTCTGCTTACACCCATCTTTTCACTGTTTTTTAAAGTGCTGTACGCTAATTCTTTTTTTTTAATATCTTACACTCGTTAACACCTTAATATGCTGTTTGTCAAAAATATTAATGGATGCAAATGTGAGATGTAATTTTCTAAATTATAATTTATTCAGACCAAAAAAGCAAATTCTAATACTTAAAAAGTAGGATGAACAGTAGCAACCAAGGCTATCGGCTTGTCTTTTTTGGACTACTAGTTGGCAAGATGGTTAATATGGTCGCTTAAAAAAGTGTAACATTTTCTTAGTATTAAGGTCTTAAGAGTTTCAAAGATTTCGATTATTATAAGGGTTCCCCCGTTCGCAGACTAAATCATATATTCTTTATCCCTGTAAATTTTTATCAAGCTTAGTCCGAATTCACCTATAGTTACGTTGCATTTGCAAAGCTACAATGAAAAGCATCATCACATCGACTACCATTTGAGAAGCAATATCAGAAATTTTCTAGGAAACTTGATCATCAAAAAAGGAAAAGGAAATTACATCAAGACCAGAAAGGAAATGAATTCTAATTAAGTCTTCCCGCATGTCAGGCCTTTGTCGTTTTATATAATAATTAATTGTGGAAAAAATAAATGAAAAAAAAGCCACTACGGCTAACAAAATAATTTATTTTACATACCAAAGATATTTCAAAAAAAAAAAAAAAAAAAAAACAACAACAAAACAACAAATTGTGTAAACTCTAATAAATAAATTGTATGAGCAATTATTTAAATGCAAATGTGAAGAAAAATATATATGCGCTTTAAGACGAATTTTAAGTTCTCACCATCCAGAGGTAAAGTACGAAAGTCATTTAAGTTTCTTACGTATTCGAAGCAAATCGCTTTGCAAAGCAGAGAACATTTCTTTGACAAACTTATCCCAATAGGATGTTTTTCAAGTTCAAGGCATTTTCTCTTCTATTTGTTTTAATTTACCCAACATTCTATAAAGTTTAGAATTATTATAGTTTTCACATGACTATCTAGATGAAAACTGCTAATCAGCTGCAAGTTAGCTCCTAGTCACTTGCTAGTCAGCTGTTAATCAACTGTTAGACAGTTGTTAGTCAGCTTCAATGTAGATGGACTCATATAAAAAAATCGAAATTTTTTATAATCGATTCTGTTACCTTTGAGAATTGAATTGATCAAGAAGGCTTTGACCGCCTAAGAAAAGGGATTGAATTCTCTTCTTGGAAATCTTTTCTAGAAAAAGTATCATTAAGAGCGAGATGCTTTAATTGAAACGATCGCTGTAATCACATGATCGCAGAGATCTCATGATATTCTCCTAAAACGTGCACATGCATCGTTAAGTAAATGCTTTGAAAATAGAGCGAGAGAAAAAAAAAGCGATCATTGCAAACGTTACGAAAGATTAGTCGATTTTTAACCTCCAGTTGGTGGGTATATAAAACATGACAATGTTTACTAATTTTTTTTTTTTTTTTTTTTAAATATATTATGATTTGTATTATTTTTAAAACATTTTAATTTGCATGTTAAACCACAATATAAATAAATAATTAAAAAACGTACATATATATTTTTTTTATCTGATGTTGATGCTGTTATCTTACATTTCAATGTGTGAATAATCATACATATAAAGTGGTATTGATATAGAGTAATATTATTATAATACAATGTAGTAAAATATTTGCCATTTAATGCTTTACGACATGTTTATTAATATTAAAATTAAGGGGATTTCGTTAACAAAAATGCCAATTAATTTTTCATATATTTAAAATGAGTAAAAAATAAATATAAAATTTATTTATATATACCTATAGTATATATATATATATATATATATATATAGATATATATACATATATGCATATGTACATAAGCCAGCTATAAAGTAAACTGATATCGATTAAACTCATTTAACGGAGCAAATCAAAATTTAATACGAATAATATGAGAGTAAACATTAATAGGAGTGAGTAGCGTTGGGTAAAGATATAATGAATTTTACAAAAAAAAAATCATAATTAGCGAAAATAATGCGCTGTACATGTCTATGAAGAAAATTATGTTTTCTCGTCCTCTAG